TTCAAAGTGCAGTTGTGTACACTACATGTAATGTTCCATTCTCACATTTAAACAAAGAAATAAAAATTGCATTGTCATTTATCATCATATATTTATTATTGCTCCCCAGATTTCATTACTTCTCTGACTGCTGTGGTATAGTATGGCAGATCTTGACCTTTTGTTGCCATAATTCACAGCTTGGACTGCATTCACATGTGGGACTTCTTCCCTGGGGTCCTTGGAGTTCTGGGCATTTTTTTAGTATGCTGGCTATAACCAGGCCTATTTCTTTTTTGCTCAAGAAAACCTATCAGGGGATGCCTGGGTGGCTCTGCGGTTTAGTGCCTACCTTTGGCTCAGGGTGTGATCCTGGAGTCCCCGGATCAAGTCCCACATCGGGCTCCCTGCATGGAGCCTGCTTCTCCCTCTGCCTATGTCTCTGCCTCTCTCTCTCTCTTTCTATGTGTGTGTGTGTGTGTGTGTGTGTGTGTGTGTGTCTCATGAATAAGTAAATAAAATCTTTAAAAAAATAGAAAAGATCAATTAAACTAATGAAGTTTTTTTAAAAAAGAAAACCTATCAGAATACAAATGAGAGTGACACTATTATAGAAACACCATGGAATCCATTTCAGTATCTTAAGTACTTTTTTAAAAAAGATTTTATTTATTCATTCATGAGAGACAGAGAGAGAGAGAGAATGAGGCAGAGACACAGGCAGAGGGAGAAGCAGGCTCCATGCAAGGAGCCTGGCGTGGGACTCGATCCTGGGACTCCAGGATCACACCCGGGGCGGAAGGCTGGCGTTAAACTGCTGAGCCACCCACAGATCCCCCAATATCTTGAGTACTTTAATAGCAACAATTCCTGCAACACACTTCAATACATTAGTTGTAAATCACTGGGGTAGGATTGTTTTCTCATTTAGGGACCTGGGTTCAAGTTGCAGATCTACTATGTTCTTGTTATGAAACTTTGAACATGGTAATTAGTCTCTCAGCCTCAGTTGCTATAAAATAGCATTAATGGCAATACCTACTTCACTAGGTTACTGTGAGGATTAGATATGTGATTTGAAGAGAACTTTTCAAAATTGAAAGCCGTGGACAAATCTGAATTCTCTATCTTCATATTGCAACTTTTCCTCATTGCCAGGCCCTTGCCTTAGGCCCTAAACTATCTAGTACTTTGTATCATTTTTCACTTTATACAAATTCCTTAGCCCCTCTTCTTCCAAAATCATTCACTTGTAGTCAATCCAGCTAGCAGTTCCAGATTTATGGTTTTCTGTTACAACCAGCTATGCTAAGCCCTAACTCCTAGAAGTTATTCTTACTGTGCTCATAGTGATGAACTTTAACACAGTCTAGGACAGGAAAAAAAACCCCTAATTCTACAATTCTCCATCTTTTTGCCACTCCCATAGAATGTTGTCTTATATACCAAAGTCAAGCTCTTCTCTAGCCTTGTCAGTACATCCAGCATATACCTGCATATAGCCCAGTGCAGAAAGACAACTGGAGGGATGCAGAGGAAGGGAACTGACCCATAGGAGGGCAAGTATGTAGGGTCTAGGTAAGACAGGACCCAAGTTCTCAAGATATGGTGGCATTGTCAAAATTTGTTTGGGAACTTTCAGCAGTAAGACCTGGCGATTCCCACTCTCACAAGCTTGACCTCCATATGCTACATCCCCGTAAAGCAAAACAAGATTGGAAAACTAGGACCAGCTGCTACCTGCAATGTTTCTTGGGACTCCACAAGCAGCCCCATCCCTGCCAGTTGCTCTTCCTACTGGTTCTAACCCATATTGGAACTCCCTCTGGCTGATCTCCATTGCCTTCTTCATAGTTGTTTCAGTTGGGTGAGAATTATGAATTCTTATATCTATACCCAAAAGAAACTCTTACATAAATACAAAAAACAAATAAATAAATAAATACATACAAACAATACAATAGCAGGCTTAGACAAGAATATACAGTAGCAAAATCTAACAACCCAAATGCCCATCAACAAATAGTGTATAGATAAACTGACATATCCATGCAATGAAATATTAAACAACAGTCAAACCAATGAACCGCAGCAAAACTTACTGGTATGGATGAACCTTATCAATATAATTTTAAGCTTATAAAAAGTAAATCCCCTATGTTGAAGTTGTCACCAAAAAGAAAAGTGTGTGTTCTGGGTATGTATATGGCGGAAATAAAATGTCTATCTCAAAGAGATATCTACACCCTCGTGTTCATTGCAGCATTCTTTACAATAGCCAAGACATGGAAAGAACAAGTGTTCATCAACAGATGAATGAATAAAGAAGGGGCACCTGGATGGCTCAGTGGTTGAGCGTCTGCCTTTGGCTCAGGTCATGATCCTGGGGTCCCGGGATTGAGTCCCACATCGGGCTCACCACGGGGAGCCTGCTTCTCCCTCTGCCTGTGTCTCTGCCTCTCTGTGTGTGTCTCTCATGAATAAATAAATAAAAACCTTTAAAAAAAAGAAAAAGAAAATGTGATGTGTATACACAATGGAATATTATTAAGCCATAAAATAGAAGAAGACCTTGCCATTTGTGACAGTGTGGGTGGACCTTGAGGGCATTATACTAAATTAAATAAGTCAGGAAAAGACAGAAGTTGTACAATCTCACTCATATATGGCATCTAAAAACAAAAACAAAAACAAAGCCTCCTAGAAACAGAGAATATATTGGTTGCCAGAGGCAAAGAGTAGGAGAGTGGGAAAATGGGTGAAGATGGTCAAGAGGTACACACATCCTGTTATAAGATTAATAGGTCCTGGGGATACAACTTACAGCTTGCCAACTATAGTTAACAATACTACATTGTATATTTAAAAGTTGCCAAGAGAATATATCTTAAAAGTTCTCATCATAAGAAAAAATATTTGTAACTATGTGTGGTAATAGATATTAACTAAAATTATTGTGTTAATCATTTACAATATATACATATATCAAATCATCATCTTGTACACTATAAACTAATGTTATATGTTAATTATATCTCAATAAAACCAAAAAAACAAAAACAATATGTATGTATTAAATGCATTTACAAAACAAATCACCTTGGACCTATCATAATGAAAAACCTAAAGGGTTTTTTTTTTAAAAAAAAGCTTTTTAGGAATACATATATATAGGATACAATTTTATGAAAAGGAAGTTGAGAGAATAATGAACACAGGATTCAGGATAGTTTACCTTGCGTGGGGGAAAGATAGGGAGATGAGAGTGAGAAGGAAGTATATGACTGGATCTAAGTTTTTATAAAGTCCTAGTTTTTGTTTTGAGTGAGTGGTTCCCAGGTGCTTGTTACATTGTTTTTTAAAACTAACTAAATAGGGGAAGGGAAGGAAAAATAAAGTAAGATGAAAATTGAGCGGAAGGCAAACCATGAGAGATGCTGAACTCAAGGAAACAAATTAAGGGTTGCTAGAGAGGTGTGGGGATGGGGAAGGGATAATTGGATGATGGGCATTAAGGAGGACACTAGATCTCATGAGCCCTGGGTGTTATTTGCAGCTGATGAATCACTAAATTCTACCTCTGAAACTAATTTAAAAAACTAAATACAGTGAGTTACACATAGACAAAGGTGAATTAAGATATGCTGTAAATGTAAAATACATACCAGATTTCCAAGACTTAGTATCAAAAAGAGCAATGTAAAATTGGTTACGTGTTGAAATTATGATAATTTGGATATGTTGAATTAAAAGTTATTATTAAAATAAATTTCTTTTTTACTTTTTAATATGGCTAATAGAAAATTTAAAATTACATATGTGGCTCAAATTTGTGGCTTACATTATATATATGTTGGACAATGGTGGTGTAAGAATTCTATAGCACTAGTCTTTATAACCAGCTGTTTTCAGACTTAATGCTATTTAGTTTGTCTTTTTAGGCTTAAATTCTAATTTATCTTATCTTTGGCTTCTGAAATCTTAGTTGAAAGGGTTTTTTAAGATTTATTTATTTATTAGAGAGAAGAGCATGAGCAGGAGGAGGGGTGGAGAGGGAGGTAAGTAGGCTCCCATGGAACAAGGAGCCCAATGAAGGGCTCAGTCTCACAACCCTGAGATCTTGACCTGAGCTGAAACCAAGAGTCAGATGCTTAAGCAAGTGAGCCATCCAGGTGCCCCTCAATTGAAAGCTTTAATAAATATGAAAGCAATGCATGCTCCTTCTAAAACAAAGTTAGGGGATCCCTGGGTGGCGCAGTGGTTTGGCGCCTGCCTTTGGCTCAGGGCGCGATCCCGGAGACCCGGGATCGAATCCCACGTTGGGCTCCTGGTGCATGGAGCCTGCTTCTCCCTCTGCCTGTGTCTCTGCCTCTCTCTCTCTCTCTCTCTCTCTCTCTCTCTCTCTCTGACTATCGTAAATAAATAATAAAAAATTTTTTTTAAAAATAAAATAAAACAAAGTTAGGCATTAGAGAAATTTGATTTAACACAGGGAAAGTAACACCACCACCTCATTTTCTAGACATAGCCACTATTAACAATTAAGTAGCTTTCTGGGTATGTGTGCTTTTAAGATTTTAGAACCTGAGCATCAGAGTTATCCCTCTCAAGCATTCTCTGTGACCAGAGAAGCAATGGTAGTTTCTAGCTTGGTTTTGTGCCAAGCAAAGAACTAAAGCAGTGATTCCCACCTCTCGAGTGGGAATACTCCCATGCTAGCTGGATTTTGGATTTCTTTCCCTGGCTAAGACTCTTCTCCCCACAAGAAAGGCCATTTGGAATATATTTAATACTAAAAACTAAGTGAACTGAAATTAATTCTTCAAGAATTTCCTAATATTCCTGGAAAAAATTAGAAAGCCAATGGGATATTGTAAAACCAGAATTAAGAATCACTGTTTTAGCGTATTGATCTCCAACAAGATACCTGATCATTTCTCCCAGTGAGTATGAATCAGGCTCCCGGTGGGAGTGTAATGATCTGAAAAAGACAAGATGCATCCATTTCTCTTCTGTCATAGGTTCCTCTCTTCTTAGGAAACAGTTTAATGGGAGTAGCTGTAAGGGGAAAAAAGAATACAAAGGTAAGATTTGGATTATATGCTAAATCTTGAAAATGTTTTTCCTATATTGCCTGAGGCTTCATATAAAAATCATTAATAGAGAAATACCTTCTCTTTTTTTGAAGTGTAATAGAGATTACAGAAGCTATTTTCTTTGTTCACATTATTGATTGATAAGTTCAAAGATTCTGGATGCATTTTGTTAAAAAATAATAAATACTTTGACATTTTTCCTTATTGTCCATTCAATGAAGTGAATTCACACAATGTTATATTCTTAAGAAACATACCAATGAACTTTTAAATCATATGATTTCATTTTTTGCATTTGTTGAGACCTGCATGAGAAAAATAAATACGAACTGCACTCTTACTGCTATTCTGATTGGGATCTCTTTCCTCTCCCTTTTACAGTGAAATGACATACTTGAAGTAGGCATTCCAACCATGGCTTTTCTGAAACTCTTTTGAGTCATTGTTCAAAGCCATCCCGTTCTAACTTCCAGTCCATTATCATTTTTCCTCTCACCTAACTCTCTTTACTCTTCAATTCCAATTGATTTGTTTTCTTATTGGTCACATATTTGTTTTTGTTTTACCTCCTCCTCCTGCTAGATTGGCACTTCCTTGAAGTAAGAGACCATGTATAGATCTATTGCACATATCCAGAAAATAGTTACCAACAATATTATTACCTAGAACCCATTTGCCCTAAACCTTGCCTGGGTTTATTTTATGCTATTCGTGACTTTCTTTAAAGGTGTAAGTACAAATAACATAGTAAACTTGTCCAGAGATTACAAAACAATAAAGTGGGATTAAAAACAAATGGACAATCTATGAGAGTTTTATGTATTAATGGCATATTTATATATTTTTCGCATTTTTAGTTTACTTTTGCTATACGGAAATGTATCCTGTTTGTGGAGCACAGTGTGATCTAATTGGCTGAACAGAATGGTAGATTAAACAGAGCAGTTGGCAGAAAACAGATTTAGAATTCAGATCTAGTCCAGCTACTAACTATGGGACTTAGGTAGATCAAATCTCTGCTTAATTTTTTGGTTATGGGAGTTAGATGGCCTAACACTTCTCTTGATCACTTCACAAGGGTAATAACAGCATAAGTACATCGGAAAATATATCAGGAATGGATAAAGAAGATATGAGAGATATATTTATGTGTGTGTGTGTATATACATGGAATATTACTCAGCCAACAAAAAATGAAATCTTGCCATTTGAAATAACATGGATGAAGCTAGATTGTATTATGCTAAGTGAAATAAGTCAGTCAGAGAAAGACAAATCCCATATGATCTCACTAATATGTGGAATTTGAGATAAAAAGCAGATGAATATATGGGAAGGGGAAAAGACAAAAAGAGAGGGAAACAAATCATAAGAGACTCTTAACAATAGAGAACAAACAGGGTTGATGGAGGGAAGTGGGTGAGGGATGGGCTAGCTGGGGGATGGTATGAAAGAGGGCATTTGTTATGAGCACTGGGTGTTGTATGTAAGTGATGAGTCACTGAACTCTACTGCAGAAATCAATATTGCACTATATGTTAACTAAGTAAAATTTAAATTAAAAAATATATCAAAAAGTGCTTTGTAAATTAAATACCATATAAATATGAGGTTCTTAAGATGTGATTACATTTGTACTTCCAACATTTGGAAGAAAATTCATTCCCTGTTAGCTTTCTTTGTAGTTTGCAGATGTAGCCACAAAGTACTCCAGCCTTTGTCAGTATAGTAAAAAAAAAAATGCTAGCTTTAGACAGATGTTATTTAATGGATAAAATAGTATTAGCTCACTTTTATCTTTTTTTAAAAAATAAAATAGAATGTTTTATTAAAATAGCTAAACCTAATAATATAAGCATTATATTAAATATTATACACACAACAAAATTCCAAAGCACCTAAGCAATATATTGCTTACTAGTTATTGACTGTTATAATCCTCATTATTGTTTTAAAGCAGCTTTATTGAGATATCATTCATGTACTATACACTTCACCCATTAACATGTACAACTGTAGTTTTAGAATGTTCACAGAGTTGTACAACCAGCAACAAAAACCAATTTTAGAACATTTTCATTACCTCAAAAAGATACCCTTCAGCTATAATTCCCCAACTCCTCCATTCCCTTCCCCAGGCCTGGGCAACCACCAATGCATTTTCTGTCTCAGTAGAATTGCCTGTTCTGGACATTTCATGTTAGTGGACTCATACGATGGTCTTTTGTGTCTGACTTCTTTCTCTTAGCATAATGGTTTCAAGGTTCATCCATTTTATAGCATATATCAATATTTCGTTCCTTTTTTATTGTGCCAAAATACATATAACATAAAATTTGCCATTTAACCATTTTTAAGGATACAATTCAGTGGTATGAAGTACATTCACCATGTCTTGCAACCGTCACTACTCTCCATTTCCAAAACTTTTTTATCCTTCCAAAAAGAAACTCTCTATCCATTGAACTATAACACCCCTTTCCCTCTCCCATCAGCTCCTGGTAACCACTCTTCTAATTTCTGTCTCTATGACTTTGCCTATTCTAGGTACCTCATATAAATAGAATTATACAATATTTGTCCTTTTATGCCTGGCTTACTTTAATTAGCATTATGTCATCAAGGTTCATACATATTGAAGTATATAGCAGTTCTTCATTCTTTTAAGGGATGAATATTATTGTGGGGATATACCATATTTTATTTATTCATTAGCTGATGGACATTTGAGTTTATTCTACTTTAGGCTGTTATGAATAATACTAAGGTAAACTTCTATGTACACATTTTAATGAAAATATGTTTCCATCTCTCTTAAGTAGGGTTTCAGGATCAAATAGTAACTATGTTCTACCTTTTGAGGAACTTCCAGACTGCTTTCCAAAACAGATGTACCATTTTACAATCCCACCAATAGTGTATAAGGGTTCCAATTTCTCCATATCCTCACCAACACTTATTATCTGTCTTTTTTATTATAGCCATCTAGTGGATGTGAAGTGGTCTCTCATTGTGGTTTTGCTTTATATTTTCCTGATGACTAATAATGTTGAGCATCTTTTTATGTGCTTGTTGGCTCTTTGCATATCATCTTTGGAGAAATGCCTATTCAGATCTTTTGCCCATTTTCTAAGTGGATTATTTTTCATTTTATATTGAGTTCTTTTTTTAAAGATTTATTTATTTATTTCAGAGAAAGAGAGAGCATGAGCAGGAGGGACAGAGGGAAATGGAGAGAAAATATCAAGCAGACTCCACGCTGAGTGTGGAGCCAGAAGCAGGGCTTGACCTCATGACCCTGAGATCACGACCTGAGTTGAAACCAAGAGTTGGATGTTTAACTGACTACACCATCCAGACGCCCCATCTTTTTATTTATTATTGAGTTCTATATATATTCTGGATTTGATTCTTGTAAGATATATGATTTGTAAATATTCCCTCCCATTCTTTGGGTAGTCTTTTTACTTTCTCATTGTTATCATTTGTAGCACAAAAGTTTTTAATTTTGGTGAAGTCCATTGCATCTATTTTTTTTCTTTTGTCACTTGTGTCCATTATTACTTTTATTGCTTCTGGTATAACTTATAAAAGAAAAATCCAGGGTATGTTTTCTGCTTCCCAGGTGATTTGATGTTCAGTCACAATTCAAATGGCTATAATTTTACTATAATTTTAGGTCTCCATAGTTTCTTTGACAATGATAGTCTACCTTTGCCACATTACTTTCCCTACAGAACTGAGTGGTCTAAGCTGGGAAACAAGAGGTCAATACTTCCTCTCCCTCCCCCCTTTTTTTAAAAAAAGATTTTATTTATTTATTCATGAAAGACACAGAGAGAGAAAGGCAGAGATGTAGGCAGAGGGAGAAGCAGGCTCCAGGCAGGAAGCCTGATGTAGGACTCAATCCTGAGACCGCGGATCACACCCTGAGCCAGGGGCAGGTGCTCAATCGCTGAGCCACCCAAGAGTCCCTCCCTCGCCCTTTTGTAAGGACCATTTTTTCCCATCTTATAGTTGGCAAAAATGGAGCAAGATTACAGTCATGTTGATATATCTGTACTTTAACATCTAACCAATATACTTCATCTCTTTATTAAATTTTGCCTACAAAGACCTGCCATAATAAGTACTCTGTAACACTTAACTATGATGTTAACTGTTGAGCTCTAATAGTACATGTTTTTTCTTAATGGCTTAGTTATAGAATACCATAGCAAAAGAATTTATCTGAGTTGATGACTACATGACATCAAATTTCTGCCAGAAGGAAACTCTTACACATTTAAATCAAAAACCTTAGATGAGGGCAGCCCGGGTATCTCAGCGGTTTAGCGCCGCCTTCAGCCCAGGGCCTGATCCTGGAGACCCGGGATCGAGTCCCACATCGGGGTCCCTGCATGGAGCCTGCTTCTCCCTCTGCCTGTGTCTCTCTCTCTCTGTGTGTGTGTCTCATGAATAAACAAATAAAATCTTAAAAAAAAAAACCCTTAGATTACCTCTAGGGTTTCTTTAAGCTATGAAATTACATTCATTTTAGGCTGACTTGAAATTATTTCATAAAACTATTTATCATATCTAATTTATTTATTATGGACTAAACTAAACCAAGCTGTGATATAGACCTCAGGCTCAGTTCTAAAAATAACTTCCATGTGTTGTATTTCTACTATGTCTGGGCATTGTGTTAGGCATTCTAATCCTCACGTTATTCCTGCACATGAAATAGAAGTTATTCTCATTTTATTTACAGACAGAACATCAACCTCAGAAATGTTAAATAATTTGAGCAGAGGGTGCAGGTAGTGAGAAAACATAAGAACAAAAATAAAGTCTTCCTTGTCTTAGTTTGCCCCTCTTGGCAGGTATTCATTTTGCCTTTGATGCTTCCAGACCTAATCTTTTGTTTTGTTTTTGTATATTTTTTATTTGAGTTTGACTTGCCAACATATAGTATTAACACCCAGTGCCCCCGTCAAGTGCCCCCC